ATAAAGGATAAGTTCACCTTTTAGTAAAAAATAATAAATGCACATTTTTTTTGCAGGTAAGAAAATGTGAATTTATTATTTTTGTCTGCAAGAGCCTGTAACACATTGCACCAGTGATCATCAGATCACTGGTGCCATGCAGGTCTCCTGCAGATCTGTCAGAATATCTGCTTGCTTGTACGGCATGTACGGCCAAGCAGATATACTGACAGGAAGAATCAATAAACTACCACAGCACTCCACAGCGCCGTGGTAGTTAATTGATCACTACAAGCTGACAGCTGCTAAGGCTGCCGGGACTTGTAGTCTCTCATTCACAGAATACTGTGAATGAGTGATGTGGCCAGGCGGGTGGGGGCTGATTGTAAGATGTTACATGTTACAGCCTGAATATGGATGTAACATGTTACATAGTTACATAGTCTGGCTGAAAAAAGACAAAAGTCCATTCAGTTCATAAAACAAAAAGTTATAATCCTATACCCACAGTTGATCCAGTGGAAGGCAAAAAAAACACCAGCAAAGCATGATCCAATTTGCTCCTGCAGGGGAGAAATTTCCTTCCTGATCCCCCAAGAGGCAATTCCAACTTTACCTATAAATAGTAACCAGTTCTATTCTGTGTATCCAAGAAAGAATCCAGGCCTTTTTTAAAGCAATCTACTGAACTGGCCAGAACCAAATCTTGAGGGAGTCTATTCCACAGTTTCACAGCTCTTACTGTGAAGAAACCTTTCTGTGTTTGGAGATTACATTTCTTTTCCTCCTGACATAAAGAGTGCCCCCTTGTCCCCTGTGAGGACCTCATGGTGAATAACACGTGTAACTTCTTACAAATGTATTCTCTCTTGAGAAGAGGAGATTAAAAGGGGATATGATCAACATATATCAATACATCAGTGATTCATATAGTGAACTCAGGGTAGAGCTATTCACCCTGAGGTCATCACAGAGGACAAGGGAGAAATCTTTATGTCTGGAAGAAAAGAAATTTAATCTCCAAACACGGAAAGGTTTCTTCACAGTGAGAGCTGTGAAAATGTGGAATAGACTCCCTCAAGAGTTGGTTCTGGCCAGCTCAGTGGATTGCTTTAAAAAAGACCTGGATTCTTTCCTAGATACACAAAATATAACTGGATACTAACATTTATAGGTAAAGTTGATCCAGGGAATATCCGATTGCCTCTTGGGGGATCAGGAAGGAATGTTTTCCCCTGAAGGAGCAAATTGGATGATGCTCTGCTGGGTTTTTTTGTGCCTTCCTCTGGATCAACTGTGGGTATAGGATTATAACTTTTTTTTTCTTTTTAATGGTTGAACTGGATGGACTTTTGTCTTTTTTCAGCCAGACTATGTAACTATGAAAGGTGAACTTATCCTTTAAGTAACTATAACCAGACAGACTGCAGTGAGGTGGACTTAAAAGTAACCAGAAATCTGCTGGTTATACTTTTTCATAGGCTTCAAGCCCTACCCCATAGAAGCCATGGCTTCCATACAATGAGCTGATGATGGCCAATAATACTGAAACAGCTGTATGCCTGTATGCTGTTTGGAAGAAATTAATAACTATAATATTTATCTGTACTGTAAACCAGTGTTGCTGGTTGCATAGTTGGCCCAGGGTCATAACGTAATGACATGCATGGCTCTGTTCACTGTAAATGATGATGAATAAACCCTTATATTTTGGGGTTTGTGGTGGAAGTGGGGCATGCAAATACCTTCAATTCTAAGAAAGATCTAGTGTTTGAATTTAGGTTATGTAATTTTAAATAGAATTTAGCATCCTATGAATCTGCTATTGACCTTGAAGCTGCAACTAATTAATAGAACAATCAATGTGAACAAACAATCTAAACGTACTTTGGTCATATTCAAAATTGGGTACATAGTAAGGGAGGGCAAAGAGAACAGTCATGTGCAATGTGCAGTAACCAGTCAGTCATACCAGTCAGTTTTCAGTTTACTAGTTATACTAGAAATATTATTTGTGATTGGGTTACTGCAAACTGCTCATCATCGTTGGTTTTTGCACCACACAAAGAGGTTGTTGTTTTACATTCAATATAAAATTACCTCTTCATTATTCACACTTGGAGGAGGGGAATTTTGAATAATAATGGGATATCTGACATATTGCTATGAAGGAGGAGAGTAGAGCCACTGTGCTTGATTTGCTGTTTAAAAAAAGAGAGAATCTGAAGAGAGTTGGTGATTTAAGACTTGTCACATGGATTCAGTACTGACCTATATCTTTGGGGGTTCTCTTTCCCTTTTCTAAGAAAATGATACACAACTCTTCCATAAAGCAATGCCCAAGATTGCTTATGGTAAATATAAGAGATGTACTCCATGAGTACTCATTACCACTTTTCCAAACTACTAGAAAACATCAAAAGGCAACAAGACATTGCACATCTTCCCTGCCTTCCTTCCTGGCAGCATGTCATTTCCTAAAAAGTCATAAGTGGGCGTTAGCATAATTATTTATGTCCTCCCTAATTTGCAAGACTAAACAGATGACTGCTACACAGGTCTTAGAAAAAATAAGACCCCAGCAATTGCTATTTTTTAGTAGTAGGACACTCATACTAGGAACACTTTTTTTCCTGAAGAAAGAGTGCAGGTATGTTTCTGCAGAAAAACTGCAAATGAATACAAAGCTTCCTCTGAATGGCTGAGCCAGAGTTTGTGATGTCATCAGCCAGCCTCTCTGCCAATCAGAGGAAGCTTTGTATTCATTCATAGACTAGAAAGCTTTCTCTGAATGGCTGAGCAGCACTCAACTTGACTTTTTGGGAGCCAGATGGGAAGTTCTCATCCTGCCCAAGGAATACAGCTCTGTTTATTGTATTTAGCTGAGGCTACAAACAGTTTATACAGCGCAAACGGCCTCTGAAACTATTAGTGAAGTAAATAGTTCATTTGCACCTGTTTGGTCCAAATTACCTACATAAAGTTAAATGAAACATGGAGATCAGCTATAAACACCTAACTTTTTCTACATGTGCCAGACATGCTGTGAAGTCTTGAAATATTGATGTTTCCTAGTGCAACTTTAAAATTAATTAGTAGAGGTCTGTGCCCAGTCCTGTCCATATTGGTGAGATTTGGTAGCAAAAAGCCTACAGTTGCTTGAAACCCCTAAAATGCTTTGAAAGTTTAGGTTTAAGCAATAAAAAAAGGTTAGTGTAGATTGTACTCATATGCAGTCGAAACTCCTAAAATAATACTGTATGCATTGGCTTTCTTGTAGTCAATTTACAGAGAATACCACCAATTATACTTTCTCCATGTGCTGCATCACTTCTGACATATCTGTTTGGGTAATAGGATGCCAAAAATATATTTTTTATTATTTTTCTCTGTAAAGCTGAACCTTGACAATTCTTCCAAATACAGTATAACTAAGGATGTAATTACTGTACTTTTAAAGCAAGCTTCCAGTCATTTTTTTTTTTCATTTTTATATCTGCCATAGATTAAAAATTGTTTTTGTTAAAGTGAAACTAAATTTCAATATACTCACCTTCCCTTCAGCGATATGACTTTTCCCATTTCTGCTGGGTTTGGCATCTTTGACCATCTTGTTTGGCCCACTTAGATTATGTAAATATCAAGCAGGTGCATGGGAGTTAAAGCAGAACTTTACCCATAATAACTTGATTAAAAATAATGTTCTTTAGCAAGGAATATACATTCCACATTAATAATTATGCTACCAAAATTAGTGCTGTAAATTGCTCCCACCTTTACTCCTGTTTCTTCTTGCTGGATGCTGCCATTTTTCTGAAGCCTAAAGTCCTGAGCAGCAGTAAAACTTTAGGCTGTCAGCAGATCAGCCTCTACAAATTCGGCATAGTGCCTAAAATTAGAAAGCAACTGAGCATGTGCAGAGCAGGGTGAGAGAGTGTATTACTTGGTTTTAAATAGTATAGGCACTTGATTTTAATGTTTTCCATAGATATGTCTGCAAAAGGGGCCAGCCTGAAGTGATCTAGCAGAATTTTCTGACTAAAGTTCCACTTTAATGCATCCCAGGGTCAAACCATGCAAATGCCAATGAACATCCTATGGAAGTTTGTAAACAGGCAGGTGTGAAGCTTTTGTAGCTTTGATTGCAGAAGAGACATGAAATAACTGTTCTGCAATAAAAAGCCTTCCTGCAAGCATTTTTTAGATACATTTCCACTTTAAGTTCTCTTCCAAGAAATGAAAACCTGCTTATCCTCCATTTGCAACTCAAAGCCCTGTGTTCTATGTTTGAGGCATGAAAAGTTACTCAACTAAATATTTTATTGAAAATTGAGATATTTATACCTATTAATTAGGTCACTTCTAAGGATTCGGGCACTAAGGAAATACCTGAGACCTGACCTGACCTGACACCTTGAGAAATATGCAATATTCTATAGTCCTGATATATTTAGGTGCAAAACAATTACCGCCACTTCTACGGTATATGCCTGTTGTATGCAGTGCAGGTCAATACTAGGGCTAACCTACATACTCTATATGTATGACCGCATACTTTATTTTAATAAAGGTAAATGAGAACCATCCTGCAACATGCTAACATACATCAGAACACCAGGCATCAGGATGTGCTCTTGAAAATGCTGTTTGTCAATGAGCTCTGTTACTGTATTTAAAACTACAACAAGTTCTCTACCCTTACATTTTAATTTTAATTTTCAATTAAAATATATTTGTAAACATTTTACTTAAACAAAAGTTTAGAAAACCTTTAAAATGCTACAGGTATGATAAAGAAAAGATTTTCAAAAACCTTTAGTAAACAGAAAAAAAATGAAATGTAATAATTTGGTTTCAGCTTAACTAAGCCTTAATGAAAGCTTTATTTATTGCTCAATGCTCAAGTCATCATCACACAATATGCTACACACGTCTATTATAAGTAATAGGTAATGCAGAGATCATTATAGTGCAGAACAGGAAAAAACTGATGTAAATCATTTTGACTAATTATACTTCAGGTCCAGATGTGTTGACTCTGGTTGTTGGATCAGACATCAGCCGCTTCCCCAATACCCCACGGCCGACGTGTCGTGGCTATCTTCATAAGCGTACACATTCCGGATTACTAAAAGGATGGAGGAAAAGATGGTTTGTTCTCAAACATGATGGGACTCTTCACTACTACAAGCATAAAAAGGTAAATTAGCAAATGTGTGGATTCATATTTCTCATGATACGGCTGTAATGTAATTAAATCTTTTGTTGCAGTAGCATTTGTAATTAAAGCATAATACAATCAAAGCTACACCCAAATTCCACTGTGGGTGTGTTAGAATAATAAACACAATTCAATATACCAACTTGAGCAAATAGGTCCAACAAGTTTGTTCTATAACTTTATTGTGATTTTAGTAGGTTGACCCTGGAGGCCCTTTGTCGATTTCTTGCAGGTCAGAAAGATGACCTTTAATTTGCAACATAAGGGTATTGCATTCCCATACAAGTCTATGGGAATGCAAAATTTGTTTGAAGCCGCTCAGAAAGGGGTCAAATGTACCAGGTAATGAATTTAGAATGATCTCCGATATGTTTGTAAATACTGTCAAATTAAAGGCATCGCCAGAAGCCCAAAGCTCGTTGAAGTATGTCACTGTGTGCTGCTTGGTGCTGTATCCCCTTTTTCAAGCTTTGATTTTGCTTAAAATCACTGGATTTGAAGTCTTTACAAATATATGCTTGTCTTTTTTTTGGTCAGAGAAAAGTATCTTCATTACATATTTGTTTTTAGCTAAATCCATCATTTCTTAGAGAAGTTACTGAACTTTTTCGAATAAATAACTCAATCCAAACCATGCGCTCTGTTGCCTAAAGCAGTACTTTTTTATCAGGTTACTCTGACATTGCAGAACTGTTGGATGTAAATGTAAACACATCTGCTTATGACACATCTTCCATTTTCTCCATTTTTTAATATATACAGTTTTTACAACCCCATGGTGTTATCTATTTCAAATTAGGTCCACATTGTGGCATGTGTCACTTGGAAGTCATAATGTTAACTGTAAATTACATTCCTTAAAACAAAGCATTGTGTTGTATTGTAGTCATTTTTTCACCTAACAAGTTGGCATACCATTAAAGCCCAACTCGAAGAAAATTGTGTATCAATTATCTTACTCCTCAGTCTTAATTCCTGCAGTGTAATGGATCAAAGTCACAATGTTCTGTATGAGCAAAGTTAATTTTCTGCTCTGGGGAACAGACAATGTTTTCCTGCTCATTATCTTATTGGGCACTGGTCCCCTCACAGCCCCCCCATACGTTCTCCTGCCTCTGCAGCCTATGAGAGAGGACATCAGGCAGTGATGTGGACACCTGAAGTAGGACCCAGGGTGTAAATGGAAGAAGAGAGAAGAAGCATCATGTGACCATAGCTTCAGTTAAAGCGGAACTTTACCCATAACAGTTCAATAACAATTAATTTTCTTTAACAAAAAACATAATTTCCACATTAATAATTATGCTACTAAAATTAGTGTGTGCTGTAAATTGCCTCTAGCATTGCTCCTGTTTATTCTTGTTGGAGACTGCCATTTTGTTGAAGCCCAGAGCAGTCACATCCTTACTGAAACTCTGCCTTGCTGGATTTGAAACATTATATGCACTTATTGTTAAAGTTTTACATCTATACATGCAAAAGGGTCCAACATGAAGTGATGTAGTAGGACTTAATTTTCTGACTAAAGTTCCGCTTTAACCACTTGACACTTGAAAGGTTTTACCCCCTTCATGACCGGGGCATTTTTTGCTATTCAGCACTGTGCTTTAACTGGCAATTTCTTGGTCATGCAACACTGTACCCAAATGAAATGTATATATTTTTTCACACAAGTAGAGCTTTCTCTATTTCACCTCTATTTCATCTCTAGATCACCACTGAGTTTTTTTATACTATATAAATGAAAAAAAAACAATATTTTCTTCTTTTATAAAACATATTCAATAAAATCAAATTTATTCATACATTTAGGCCAAAATGTATTCTAGTACATGTCTATGGTAAAAAGCTAAACTACATTTTAAGGGATGCTATACTATTGAGGACACTAGTATAGTTCTCATTGTGATCAGGATACCGATCTGTACAGACACTATACTATTAATGGTGGTGATAATTGACTTGTAGTGTGACTGTGATAGTGTGGAGGACAATCTGGCGCTAACTGACACTGGTTGGGAGGGACACGGAATAACTGGCACTAACGTTGCTACTGACACTAATACAGTGATTGATGTTAATACTGTACACTGTACTAATGACACTGGCTGGGAACGGGTTAACATCAAGGGGCAATGAAGAGGTTAACTGTGTGCCTAACAAGTGTAATGTGTGCTGCTTTTACTCACAGATCTGGCTGCTTTTTGTACTTGAACACAGAGTTGATTTCAGGGAGAAGAAACAGCCAAGATTGCTGTCTGTGTACAGAGTTCTGTGTGTTTGTAAACACAAAACTCTGTGCTGTGATTTGCCACAGCCAATCAACAGATATAGAGCCAAAATCATGTGCTGCAACCTGCTAACCAGCTGACCAGTAAGGGGGATGCACATACGCGCCCAAAAAACAGGAAGTTTACCATAATGTACTGTATGGGCACATCGCAGTGCCTGGCTGTTCCACCTGCCAGCAGTAAATTATGTTACATCAACAGGTAATAGTTACATAGTTGGTAAGGTTGAATAAAGACACCATTCCATCCACTTCGACATGTGGGTGTTTGTGCACATGTGCGTGTTTAAATCTATATAATTTCCCATATCCTTGTATGTTGCATTCACTAAGATGCCCATCTAAGAGTCTTTTGAAACACATTATACTTCCCGCAGAAACCACTGCTTGTGTAAGGGAGTTCCACATCCTTGCTGTTCTAACAGTAAAGAATCCCTTGCACAGTTTAAGGATGAACCGCTTCTCCTCCATGTTCATGGAGTGGCCACATGTCTTCTTAAGCTCCCTGAAGCTGAATAGTTTTCTTCCTATGTTGGGATCACCATTGAGATATTTGTATATGGTTATCATATTTCCTCCCAAACGCCTCTTCTCCAAGGGGAATAAGTGTAATGTTTGTAGTTGTTCTTCATAACTGAGGTCCTCCAGCCCCCTTATTAGCTTTGTTGCCCTTCTCTGGACACTCTCCAGCTCCAGCGCATCCTTCCTAAGAATTGGTGACTAGAGCTGGATGACATACTCCAGATGTGGGAGAACCAGAGTTTTTTGTAAAGTGGCAGAATTATAGTTTTATCTCTTGAGTAAATCCCCATTTTTATGCATGCTGATATTCTGCTGGCTTTGCTTGCTGCAGCTTGACACTGCATGTCATTGCTGAGTCTGTGATCTACTAAGAGCCCCAGATCTTTTTCCATCTTTCAATCCCCCAATGGCTCTCCTCCATGCGCAGCTCAGATCACATTTATGGGCCGCTCTGTGTGTTGTGGCGATGTGACTCCTATGCGCATGTGAGGGAGGGACGTCACCACAGCCTGGCCATTCAAGTGGCCAAAGATCGGAAACCTGGAAGGAACACTAGGGGAAGATGGAAGTGCCGGGAGAGCCGTGATAGTGCTTTGTCAATATGTACTAGTATATGCTTCATACTAGTACATTATGATTTAAACCTGCAGGAGGACTGGGATTTTTTATTTATAGGACTTGACTTTACTACTGCTTTAAGGAACAGAATAACAATTTGCTGCAGTGGCCAGCTTTAAAGTGAACCTATTATAGGCAAAGCAGAGGTTCACTTTAATATCAACATTTTAAACAGTTGGATGCACAAACCATTAATCTTTTTTTTTTCTTTCTGTAGTAAAATGTATAATATCTAGTCCTGCTCTTGTTTCCAAGTTCCAGGGCATAAGCCTTAGCATTTTATGTAAACAGCTTAGTGAAGCAATAGGCTTATATTTAAACCATTGGTTGTGTATAAGCCACATGCCAGTGTTATCAAGCAACAGCCATTACTTAAACAAGTCCTTATCTCTGGCTGGATGGCTACGGCGGCACATGCTCATATGAAATACTTCTTGTTTCAAAACAAAATATCTTCAGGAAATGATCTTCAGTTATCTAGAATCATTTATGAATGCAAACTTGTAGTGAAGCTGCATCACACTAAGACTTTAAAAGGATCATAAACCTAGTGAATTGAAAGCATTTGATGACATTCACAAATATGAATTTGTTTTCTACCTTCCAATTGTCTGTTATTTAGAGGTTAAGGTTAAATACACATATATCAGTAATGCCCAAAGTTCTAGAGACAAGAACATTAGCCCACCTAAAGGGTTACACCTTTTAAAATGGAGGTATAGTTTGCTTTTATTTAATTTTGAAATTTTGTATTCAATTTTGAATCCATTTTGCTTAGTTACCTTGATTCAAGTTATTATATTAAAAATAGAGATACTTTGATAGGCCACTAAAGCTAGATGGATTGGCTACTACAATGACTCTGCCAAACTGAGTGTTTGTATAGTCAAAAATGTTTTTTGTACTTTTGAACGCATGAGTAGAAGAAAGTTAAACCCCTTTTTATTTCAGTGCTGTTGTGGAGATTCTATTACCTCTGTGTCTTGAGGACAAAACAAGAGATGAGAGGAAATCTCCCAAAAGCAAGGGGAATCCTCCCTTTTGGACAGTGGCCACTGAAACAGGTGTCCCCATATAAAGATTTAATTTACCTCCTGTGCTACAGACACATTTTAGATTGCCCCTCATTTTCTGCCCTACTGGCGCCATGGCAATGGCAAAGGTTGGATTGCTCATGAGGGCATCAAAACATAAGTCCTTTCCTAAAACTAGTTTTCATTTTGTTCCCTAAAACTAATAAAAAACATATTGGGTATACACTCACTGGCCACTTTATTAGGTACACCTTGCTAGTGCCAAGAAAATATCCCCCACACCATTATATAATCACCACCAGCCAGAACTGCTGATACAAGGCATGAAAGCATGCCTTGTATCAGCAGCATGTTGTATCAGCAGCCAGAACTGCTGATACAACATGAAAGCATGATCCATGCTTTCATGTTGTTTACGCCAAATTCTGACCCTACCATCTGAATGTTGCAGCAACCAGTCTGCCCATTTTCCTCTGACCTCTGACATCAACAAGGCATTTTTGTCCACACAGCTGTAGCTCATTGAATATTTTCCCTTGTTCGGACCATTCTCTGTAAACCCTAGAGATGGTTGTGCGTGAAAATCCCAGAAGATAAGCAGTTTTTTTAAATATTCAGACCGGTCCATCTGGCACCAACAGCCATACCACAAAAAAAGTCACTTAAATACCCCTTCTTTCCCATTCTGATGCTCAGTTTGAACTTTAGCAAGTCGTCTTCACTACTTCTACATGCCTAAATGCCTTTAGTTGCCGCCATGTGATTGGCTGATTAGCAGTTTGTGTTACCAAGCAATTGAACAGGTGTACCTGATAAGGTGGCCGAGTGTACAAACAACTGTTTACCATAGATTTCATTGAGTCAGCCAACATATAAACTTGCATTGTGTGAAAAAAACAAACAAATTACAGACACGGTGCTACACTGCCAAACAGGAAGCTAAGCCTGAGTAGGCGATAAGCCAACATGGCTCGCCAGATTCATATATAGTAAAAAAAAAAAATAAAATAATAAACTGAATATTCCCTTTAACCAAGACCAATTTTCCCATGCTGTAACAAGATAAATGAAATGTACACAGGAATACAAATATTCAATAAACATACTGACTGTAGCAAGTGCTACAGAAAAGTATATGCAGGTTCCAAACATTAATTTTAAAATGTCTTAACAGTTTTGAGAATACCTGTGAAAACAGAAAATCAACACAAGAAAAGCAAGCAGTGGGGTAAAGAAGCTAGAAGTTAGCTAGAAGTAAAATGTCAGTAACAAAATGTGGTAGGGTTAGGTTTTTTTTTACTTATTTGCATCAGTAGAATGCTAAGGTTTGTGATAACTTCTGCTTATATAGGGGGGCAAAAACCTATGCAAGCACAGAAACACAATGCCTAGGTCACCAGCCCTGGCAAACAAAGCTCCTCACATTGCATTTGTGTATATGACAAGCTGTTATACCTTCCAACAAAGCAAAAGTGTGTAGTACTTACCCCTGAGGAGCTGCTGTTTTCTCAGGTCCCCTCTGCTCAGTACCCACAACTCTGCAAGCAACACCGCTGAAATGTATACATTATTTCAATAGCTTAAAACAATAGAAACAGCAGTACTGTACAAAAAATATGTAAATCAATGGTAAATGGAATATGTGTTTGGTAACAAACACGTGGTACAGAGAGTAACCCCTATACCCTATACTATGGGTAATCCTGCCCTAAAGGGCTAGGACCACAATATTAGTCCAGCCTATCATCACTGGCTAGCGCACTGGGGTCTAAATCTGATGTTGGAACGCTCAGGATAACGTTCCTCCAAACACTGGTAAAGGCGCACAGGTGTAGTGTGGTTGGTCAGTGACCTCTCACCAAGGTTGCTGATCTCTTTTTGTTCCCCGTTAGCAGCTCAACAATATCAGCATCCACAGCAATCTCCATGACAATCAGGACTCCAGTACCTCTGCTGCACTTCTCTGGCCCAGATATGGTGGTAAGCAGCCTACAACTACTGCACCTCTCTGTCCCAGATATATTGTTAAGCAGCCTGTAAGCAACCAGATGGACAGTCTGCCTCTCAGAATGCCCTCCTTACATCTCACTGAACCCAGGAACAAGCCTTCCAGTTTTGCTCCCCACAGAGCTCCAGGGAATCTGAAAAATGTAGCTCCTCCATCCAGTCCAAAAAGCAGGCCTATTCAGTATGGAACTACCTCTCCCACAATGTTCAGTTCCTTCCTACATTCACAGCAGTTCAAGCAGTCCCTATTCTCCTTGTCTGTTTGGTGAGTGAGCTTAAACAGGCTACACAATGTTCTATAATATTAGTTTCATCTTCACAGCTGTGCCTGTCCCTCTGTCAGATGGAGCAAGAATGACAGCAGAGACAATGAAAACTGACAGCCCGGTTCATGTACCAGCTCCTCTATGTCAGTGCTACCAATCGGGACTACATGTGTTTTTTTTTAGAAGCGCCACTCAATTTCCATGTACTGTACAGTTCTTGGTCCTTGTTGTATAATGAGTGCAGATTGTGGTGATTGTATTCATTCTGAGTTCAAGCAGCCCAACATAGCTCACACAACATACTCTCAGATCAAGACACTTACATTATGCTGGAACTTCAAGATTAACAGTTAAGGCACCAATAGATTTTTAGACAGGTGAGGCAATGATCCAGTATGTGGCAAAATATGGCAGTCCCTATCAGCATTCCCAGTGAAAAGAGCAACTGGACAGATTAGAAAAACTTTTTTCCTTATACTATTGCTTATTTACATACATTTACATCATGGGCAGCACAGTGGCTAAATGGTTAGCACTTCTGCCTGGCAGTACTAGGGTCGTTGGTTCGAATTCCCAGCCTCGGCACCACCTGCCTGGAGTCTGCATGTTCTCCCTGTGCCTGTGTGGGTTTCCTCTGGGTACTCCAGTTTCCTCCCACACTCCAAAGATATGCTGGTAGGTTAATTGCATCCTGTCTAAATTGGCCTTGGTATGTATGAATGTAAGTTAGGGACATTCATTGTATTGTACACCCCTTGAGGGTTAGGGACTGATGTGAATGTACAATATATATGTAAAGCGCTGCGTAATTTGACGGCGCTATATAAGTATCTGTAATAAATAAATATTGGTGCCATATCTTTATTTTACCTGTATGCACAAAGAAAGAAAGTAATTTAGATTAGAAATGATTGTTTTCCTACAAGCTTCACATTTATCTGGGTTCTCTTTGCAGGATGAAGGAAAGTGTCGGCCACTTGAAGTGACTAAACTGGAAGGCTCTGAAATTGGTGTGGATACTACACTGGGGAAACCATTTGTATTTAGATGTGTGCCACAGTCCGGAAACCGCATATTCTACTTCTGTGCAACATCTAACCAAGAAATGAAAAGGTAGTGTGTTGCCTTGGTGAGCAGCAGTGATGAAAGTGAAAAAAAATGCCTGATTTCTATGCATTCACTGATTAATATTTTCACAAAGTGGTACATTCTATGATATGAAACATGACCTAAAAACTAAGTATGGTTTTAAAAATCCCGTAATCCAGCCCTCATTCTGCAGTTTCCTCATATACATACAGACCACAGAAACAGGCTAATCCATCTTATTTCTGCCTGGTTTGTCCAAGGCCAGAATAGTGTTTATATCCTAAAGATGCAGTGGAGTGGATTTTATAATGTCAGATTTCTAAAAAAATAAAAAATAAATGTCACTACAAATTATATACTTAAAATTACTAAATTAAATGAATTAAAACAACTATTAATAATCTAAAATGTACAGCATGTCTGTATGCATATACACACCTGTTGGTGTATAAAATATTTAGGGCCTATTCAAAGAACAATGCAGTGCGATGAATCGTATGTGTTTTTGTGATTTCATGCATGTTACAGTGGGCTGCGTTTTGTAACCCATTTAACATAAAATAGCTACATGAAAAAATAGGTGCTTTTTGCAATTTATCACAGGCTGGCGTGAACAAGACCTCAGGGTTCCTGCAATAATTTTGCTGCTCCACTATAACAGCCAATGACAGCCATACAATATGTATATATATATATATATATATATATATATATATATATGATTCTGTGCAGCCCTTCTGAATTTGAGTTATTTACAATTCTTTTAAACACAGGACATAATTGTAGCGCTACCCCCAGAGGAGCCAGTTGGTATGATGGGTCCGCTGTTCTACCACTGCTCTTTAAGCTGCTTGGTCCCCACTGACACACCTGTGTAACTTAAAGTGGAGTTCCAGCTGAAAAAGAAAAATAAAAGCTAGCAGCTACAAAAACTGTAGCTCCTGAGTTTTAAACTACAGACACTTACCTGTCCCTCGGTCTAGCGGTGTCCTCACCACGGTTTCACTGCCCGTCTTCTCTCCCTGGTGCCAGCATCTTCAGTGTGGGCAATCGGCTGTGAGAGCTTGCAGCTTCCCAGCCAGGTGCCCATTGCGAATGCGCAAGAAGTGCTGCGTTTTGTGAATGGCCCCGTAGTCTTTTGGGACCTGTCATATGTTCCAGAAGACTATGAGGAGAGAGAGGGGGAAGGACAACTTCTTCTTCCAATTGCCTAGGCCAGTGGTCACTAAATGGCGGACTGCAGGACAGTCCTATCCATCCACCACCGGGTGCCCTCCCCCGGGGGCCCCCACCCAGCCACCGACGCCATCCCCACAGTGGGTAGGGTGCGAGGAGCTGCAGATCAAGACCAAGGGACAGGAGCTGCCCAAGTCACCATGTCAACAAGTGGGTGATCGCCAAGCTGTCCAACATGAAAAGACTCCTGCCCCCAGTCACAGTGAGGGGAAGACCCCACACACCAATAAGCCGGGCAATCACCAGCTCTCACCCCCCAGTCCTGACCCATAGCCCCCCACACCCTGCTAGGTGGGCGAGGCGTAAGGAGCTACAGATTGGGACCGAGGGGCAGCAGCCGGCAACCAGCCAGCCAGTCAACATGCAAAGACCTCAGCAAACCAGGCAATCGCCCACCTGCCTAAGGTACATTAGGACTGTACAGGGAAATAATTGCATTAAAAGAGGCTCTGTGTTGTTAGGGGTGTTGTGTTAGGGGCGCTGCATTGTTAGAAGGCACTGCGTTGATTTAGGAGGCGCTGCGTTGTGTTAGGAGCTCTACTTTGTGTTAGGGGCGCTAGGTTGTGTTAAAGGATGCTGTGTTGTGTTAGGGGTGCTGTGTTGTGTTAGGGGCGCTGCGTTGTGTTAGGAAGCACTGTGTTGTGTTAGGGGCGCTGTGTTGTACTAGGGGCGTTGTGTTAGGAGATGCTGTGTTTTGTTAAGGGGTGCTGTGATGTAAAGGGGAGCTGTGATGTGGAGGGGAAGCAGAGGACAATGTGGGGTTTCTTTAAAGAGGGGACTGTGATGTAGAGGGAACTACAGTGTGAAAAGTACTCTAAGGCTGATAATGTACCAGGGGACTGTGATGTGTTATATCACTAATGAGATTCAGACCTCTGTTGGAAGGATATTTTGCTGACCTGACCTCCATAAATTTTAATTCAAGACCCCTAGCCTAGGCGATTGCAGCGGAAGTGGGAGCGGATACCTGTCAAATTCAGGTACCCGCTCACCCCCTGCTCCCCAAAGGTGCCAATTCTTAAAGGGGAGTGGGGGACAAAGGTTTAAAGCAGAACTTTCCCTTTTGGGTGGAGCTCCGTTTTAACCAATAGTATGCTACCACTCTATAATAGTACATAGAAAAAAGGCCACAAGTAACTTGTAACTTGATGGTAGGTTAATTAGATATATTATGGCAAGGCAAGTTAAACAATGCATAAGCCCATAGACAGGCAACTGAATAGGCCAGGCCAAAATAGGATGTACACCAAGCTATGATATGGCAATTAACTAACTGCAATAAAGTTAAAATAGATTTCAGCTGGTATAAACAGTGGCCAATGTAATGACATTAACTAATCCCAAAAAATGTCCTAATAGTAGGTGAGTGTATGCATTTTTGACAAGAGGCGTGTGGCTTTAAAGCACTTGGTGCCTATTTAGCAGTACTAAGCCAGCTATTGTTGGGGCCCATCTTTATGGTGGTGCACATGATGCTGTCCCTTTAAGACTGTACACAATGGATGTCTGAGGAGCTGTTAAGTAAGGATCAGTCTCTATTGGCATAACCTGTGGGAAGTAAGGGATTCAGCTTAGTTGTTCCAATCACCACTCATGGTATGCAACAGATCCAGTCCTCCATGCTTGGCAGTCAGTTGTCCCAGAAGGTTCAATCCTCATAATCAGACTCTCACTGGCTGTAGGCACATAGGACAATGGGTCCCCCCAGCTCTGGTCCCAAGACACAGCAAATATCTATGGCTCATTCTCTCAGCTCTCTTAGGCTCAATCTCTCTGAATGTGGGCACAGACAGGTAAGAGCAACAGATCTGTATCCCACAGCCCTCAGCACAGGAGGCTTAGTCCTCAGCCTCTATTCCACGCACAAGTCCTCCATGGCTGTATCCCTGGTGCAGACACCTACAGTAACAGGTCTGCATCCTCTGGCTCCCTGCACTGTTTTGCCCAGATCTGTAGCTCAAAGGCAACAGCTTTTCCTCTCCTCCTCTGTTACAGGAAATCCTGGATTTTATAATATGCAGTCTATCATCCCCCCCATAGCACCTATATAATCCCATAATCCTTTGCAGTTGCATCCTCATCCCCTTTCTGCTGGTTGGCTAAATGCTGTTTCTGGGGGGGCGCAGGCAAAAACTGCACTGACCACTCAGTGGTACAGAGACAGGGAAGGAAGGAAGCAGGCATGGACCACTCAGCCTTTAGCTGCACTGCTCTGCCCACACACAGAGGAAGTAACGGAGGGGGGGGGGGCCAAGGCACGCCTGTACTCAGCTGGCACACAGCTACATAATTATTACCCAAAATAATTAAAAGTGTCCTCCAATAAAATGGTCATAGGTTATTTTAAAACTAAAACTTTTTATGAGATATGTGCATATATTATTTTAAATAATGTTTGCTGCACTTGTTAAGTGGTCCTGCTATTATTCTGTGTTTTAGGTGGCTGGAGGCAATGGATAAAGCCATTCATCCTCTAAACCAGGTAATTGGTTTGTAGTACTTTTCAATTGTCATTTATTCATGTACAGAGTTGTTACTAAGTCTTCTAATGTTCCATTTCACTGTTTAATAATCACTTGAGTCCAGGGCCTTTATCCCCTATATCCCCTGAAGTCGTAGAGCAGTGGTTCTCAACCTTCCTAATGCCGTGACCCTTTAATACAGTTCCTCATGTTGTGGTGACCCCCAACCATAAAATTATTTACCCAGTAATTATAATTCATGAATGTCGTTTTACCTCCAATACTGCTGCTTTCAACACAGTAGCTGCTTTCAACACATTAGCTGCTTTCAACACAGCAGCTGCTTTCTACACAGCAGCTGCTCTTTACACATCGGAAATATGTGTTTTCTGATGGTCTTAGGGGACCCCTGTGAAAGGGTCGTTCGACCCCCAAAGGGGTCGCAACCCACAGGTTGAGAACCACTGTCGTAGAGCATTTGTTCATTTTGGCAGTTTCAGTCTTGCACATTGGAATGATTTGCCAAAGAGTGGCACAGGCATAAACTCTGCACAGCTTCTCTAAACTGAGAAACTGAACAGATTCTGCTACTAATTAAAAGAGAGTGCAAGCCCCTTGTTTTAATTGAGCGAAATCTGCTCTGTTTTCTGTTCTGTGTCTGTACAGAATACAACATGGAGAGCAGGAAAACTGGAGGTGGTTGCTGTGGGCCCCTCTGCCCAATTCCCAGCAATAGATCATTATAGCAGCACTACTGCTCCATGGAGAGGCTGGACAGAGCTACAACAGCGCTTCCTAAGCCCCCATACTGAGAGAAAGTGTCGTGATGTCACTACGCCCCCCGATGTACACAGAATGCAAAAGCATTCCTTTCTACAGCAGGCTGCTATGTAGAGATCTATGGAAGGATCAGAAGCTCATGAGCTGATGAGCCCGAGGACTGTTATAAAATGAGAAAAACAGTCGCCATCCATGCTCCAGGACTCAGGAGGTTAAAGAGAAAGTACAGTGTGTAGATATTATAAGTCATTATTGCAACATTTATCTCTCTCTCCCCATTAGATCAGCTATAGCCAAAATATTATAGCCAAAATACGGTTTGAGTAAAGTGAAGGGAAGTAATTTGAAATCATTTTTATGCTGTAATGCTATCATACAGTAAGTTAGTATCTGGGTGCAGGGTTTCTACAGTAGTTTGAAGTGGAACATTTCTCTCTCAATCAACATTGACTATTTTGAATCCCTATGTTGCCAGCATTAGTAAATAGATAGAAAAATATATCATATTTACTTGTTTTAAAAATGTTTTTACAATTCTTTAGTCACTTCCTAGTTTCCATGCCTAGGCAAATGATGCCATACATCCCAGAAGTCTTTAGGAGGGGAAAATAGGTTTTCTCAGCTAAGCACACCCCCCTGCATGTATGTCTGAACTAAGGGCAGATGAATCCCATGAAGTAATGGCTACATGAATCATTTACCCTCACTCAAGATGGCCACAGCCAGATATGCTAAGGATTTGGGGGGGGGGGGGGGTTAATTGACTTCTCAGCAAAATAAAGCATAGAGACATGGATCGATGGGTCAGCTTGCTTTGAACATTAAAAATGAACTAAATAGCTTATGGTTTGTGGTGCTCAGATATAGTGTAGTTCCGCTTTAAGTAACAAGAATAGTGATGCTGTGTACCTGTGTCCTTTAATTACAATATATATGTGCAGTTTGTATCAAATACTTCAAATTCACAATACTTTTTTCATATATATTTCCATACAGAACCATGTGTGGGTGGATGTGACCATGCATAATATCAGTCTTCCTCCATTAGCAATCAAGAACCCAGAGTGCTTGGGTCTCCTTCACCAGCTGGACAGAAACAAGGATGTCTGGGTCCAGCATTACTGCATATTAAAAGATGGCTGCTTGTACTTCTATGCAAGTATCCGTTCAAACAGTGCTCTTGGTGAGTTTTAAACCCTGCAATGATTGAATAATTAGGAATAAAAAAACAACTATTTTTGGGTTCCAGATCTACGCCCCAATTTAGCAGACCATGTTAAGTTAAAGTACACCAGTCATGATGGACATGGTAAAGGTTGCAATTGCTCACATCTCTTCAAAAATGCTAGCTGCTTCTCTGTGTCTGATTTCAACATTATCAAATCACAAACTTAAAAGAAGCATACAGAAGGTTAGAGAAAGCTGAGAATTGCTTATTCCTGTATGTGTTCTAGTGTTCTAGGTCTTGTTCAAGACTGACATTAAAAATGGTTTCCTATAACTTGGTGGAAAGTTTTCAAATGTTCTGAGGAATTTTGGGTTGAAGCAGTCAGGCTTATTTATTAAAGGAATTGAGAATCCCCACACAATACATATCTTTACGTTAATTATCCAATCATAAGTATACAGGACCATGATTGGATATTTGAAATGGTTATCCACACCGTTTATTGTGTGAAGATACTCAACTCCTTTAGTAAATCATCCTTAATGCCTTATGACTTGGTTTCAAGACAGTCCTGGTCTGCACAAAGCCAGATGTTACCCTCAAGTTTTGACCCATTTGAGGTAGTGTTAGACTATAACACTGTAGGAGCATCATGGTGTTTTCTAGCTCATATTTATCTGAACGAATGTGCTCTGTCATTTCAGGTGGCATCTACCTACAAGGATATACTGTTTACGAACAGACACACAACTCAAGACGTTGTATAATTGAGCTCAGGCCCCCATCTGAGGAATTTAAAACTTTCTACCTCAGTGCAGGAAGCGCAGCTGAGAACAAGCGGTAAGGATTGTTTCCCATTTTGTGTAGAGCTGAGCACATTTCATATCCAAACCATGCTGTCAGAACAGTATCAGTTTTATGGAGAAAACACTAGGAGTCCGGCTAAACACTGCCAATCCACTGGAGGCCTGCATCTGAAGGCTCTGTGTGACAGCTTTTTCATAGCTCCCTTCACATGGGCATTCTAGCAGTTTGTTTGTGCCAAAAAAAAGGACTGCAATGTATCACTGTAGGTTGCCAGATGTAAGTGGCCATGTGTCTGCCTGTATTTGCCCACATCTGGGTACATGTAGAACTATTGGCCCGAACACTATACGTTTGTGACCAAATCTGTTTTTACTGACCTAACCAGAAGTAGACAGATATAACAAGATACATTTTTTTTTTTTACATCCAGCTTCTCATACAGATTACTTGGGTCTCTTTGTCCTCCATCACAAGATGGAGGAAAAATTAGAAAACTCAGAGATGACACAAATGTGATATTCATTTCCGTTCTGATCCAACACAGCAGTTTATCAGTCCAGGACCCCTGCTGAGACAGAACGGAGGTCACTCACTTGAAGGGGAAAACTTTGCCAGTTTTTTTTTTAATAAAACATACAGCTAAACTTTAAATAACACAGTAGTTACACTTGTATATGTTTACCACTGCTCAAGGTAGAGAGACTCCCAATCTCCAAGCACAACTCCTCCTGTAGGTGCTAGCCCGGCTTGTGTGCTGCATAGATGAGAATAAAGGACGTCCGATCGGCTGCACTCCAGACAATCCACTTTATTGAACCAAGATAAAATCAATCCAGACAGTAGAAATACAATGGGGTACTGGCAGGTAAATACGTTTCACGCTAAAGACAGCGCTTATTCATTACCCCCGTTTACCTGCCAGCCCCCCACTGTATTTCCACTGTCTGTATTGGTTCAATAAAGTGGATTGTTTGGAGCGCAGCCAATCGGACGTCTTTTGTTCTCATCAGTTACACTTGTATGTTGACACAAATTATTTCAACAGGTGGATCACAGCTCTGAAGACATCAATAAACAAGTGGTTACCCCTTCATCAAGCTATCCAGGATTTCATGAGCAGACCTCTAGAGGAGACCAGGATGTGATCAATTTAAACTGCTAACCGATTCTGAGAAATTCCAGCAACTGTAAAGCATCATCACAGAACGATATCCTGAATGTGATTTTTTTTCTGTATCAACAACCTTGCTCATAACAGCTTGGGAAGGACATACGGTACATAGATGAGTCAACTGCAGTCATCACAGTGGTATGATAACGTGCATTAACAAGAGGAACCAGAGGAATTCAGGACTGGAGGAGGAATTCTCCTATGCATCTTAGACCAAAATCTATATGTCTCAAAGCATCTCTGTAAAGTGACCTTTAGTTGAAATAAAACATAGGACTTTTCTGTTCATATTGTTTTAATAAATTGTATACGCTATTTCACAGATATTTTTATGTAATTATATTCAAAAGAGAATTCCAACTTAAACAAAGACATCTAGTTATTAGTGGCAGATCTTTTCATATAACCTATTACCTATTTTATCTCTTTTTTTGGAACTGAGAAAGCTGCTATTTTATACTTGATGGTTTAGAGACCCAAAATTATTTGTTGCCAATACATGCCTTGCTTTATGGGAATTGCGCATTAGTGGGAGCCATGCTCTGTGTCTGCCCCTCTACTACTCACAAAGTGGCTGCATGCTATTGTTTGTATTTCTTTGTATATGTATAGGACTGGAGATTTCATAAGTGATAGAAAAACAATGGAGTTTTTCCATTTACATTGTGGTTATGTAATATGGCAAGTCTATATGCAAAATTGTGATTAGCAAAATTTCTTTTGAAAGGAAAATCTGAAACTTGCATGCATAAATACCGCTAATAAATATATATACTGTTTGTTTGGTGTAAAATGTTTAACAGGTTGATGCAGAAACAGATTTATTTTCTTTCTTTTGGTTTTCTTCGGTAATCTGAATGTACATTCCCAATGAAATCTCCCTTAAATGTATCAGGAGCATAATTTATATTGAATTAGGTGGGAATTGCACTACAGCTTTTTGGTAAATCAAAACAAGATTTTATAATCAGATGGTAACTTATGTGGCACTGGCCAACCTTATAGTGTGTTTACAGAACCCAGCACATATAGGAGGAATGTGTCTAAGGACCTGCTCCCAAGTCCTTCCAACTCCTTCCTCCTCCAATTGTGCAATAAAAACAGCTGGAAGGACTCAGTCACAAAGGGTGTATCAATGCGTACCCTGTACGAGTGCCATGTTTACGCACACGGGGATGCACAGATGTTACATGCATCCTAATGCAGGCACTCCCATTGATGTCTATTGAGATTCCCAATCTGACATCTTTGTGGGTGCAGGTGCATAAACCCTAAGCACACACTGTGTTCACCCATACCCACATGGACGTCAAATTGGGAGCAGAGGCTGCACCTGTACAGTTGATGCATCTCATTTCACATCAATGGAGCTGAATGCCTGGAACATGGCCCTCACAGGGGAGACACATTGAAACACTCTATGTGAATGGGGCCTAAGAGGTGGCTGTCCAAACAGTCTACAGTCGCAAAGAAATCCTTTTGAGCCTTGGCAGAACTCCCTAGAGGAAGAAGCACAGGTATTTCTGTGGAAAACCCCTGACACAATTGTGGCAGCATTCACACTTTTGCATGAAGCTTCCCACATGGAGGAAAAGTATATTTGAAATATAATTTTTAAATATTCTTCCCAAATATATTGACATATATTTGAAATGCTACAATTTTGGCCATATTCAATATATTTCAAAAATATTTTATAAATAAAATATATATATAGTATATATATATATATATATATATATACACTGCATGTTGAAATGTGTTTTTATTACAAAGTATATGAAAAATATTTTTAAAAATACATTTCAAATATACTGTATGTTTTTAAATATACAAATCTACATTTTTGGAATGCATTTACAAATATATGTAAAAATATGTTAAAGTGAATTTTTTATATGTTAAAAAAATCTGAAAAATATATATTAAAAAAAATATTAAAAAAATATATATTTTTAAAATATATTCTTCAGATTTGTTTAGCATATAAAAAAGTCACTTTAACATATATTTTTACATATATTTGTAAATGCATTCCAAAAATGTAGATTTGTATTTTTAAAGACATACAGTATATTTGAAATCTATTTTTAAAACTATTTTTTTCATATATTTTGTAATAAAAACACATTTCAACATGCAATGTATATGTTTATTAATAGATTGAATATGGCCAAAATTGCAGCATTTCAAATATATGTCAATATATTTGGGAAGAATATTTTTAAAATATATTTCAATTATATTTTTCTTCCATATGGGTTGCTATATGTATTAACTTATATTATCATGCATGCTAATGTTCAGTTTCAAGACTGTGAAGGTTACTAAGGGTTCATAGATCTATCACACAGCCCTGTGGCTGGCCAAGGTTTGTTGGGCTTGACGTTGCTGCAGGAATCCCTAATTGCCCTTAATGTGCTGTTGATTGGTTACTTTCCTGTAGGTGTTTCTAAGCATTTCTACTGTTAAAGCACCCACCTTTTGACATCCCCCCCCCCCCCCCCCCGACTCCCAGTTAGCAACCCCCATGTTTTGCCTTGTTCCTAGGATGTGAATACCATCATCAGACGCTCACTTAAAGCGTGAAGTGGAAACCAATGGTTTTGAATCCTAGTAACAAGGCAGGATGTGGGGAATGCCAACAGGGTTTTTTTGGTCATATGGTGTCATATGGGCTAGAAGGTTTAGATTGGCTTTACATAAGTAACTACAAAATTCAAACCAAACTCCAGCTAAGCAGTAACAGAATTTTTTTTTTTGCCTTTTTGGATAAAGGTTTTAACTAAATGAATAAACGCTGACTCCTGTCAGTGTTAAAGCGGAACTAAACCCACTGATTTAACTATTTATCAAAACAGTTACATTGAAGGCATGCCATGAATGATAACTGTTACAGTTATCCATGTGCTTATGATAGTTCTCAACAGAACTGTCAAGCCATCAAATGGCTGGTGTCATAGCTGATCACATGTATTAACACCATGTCAACTGCAGATCCAGCAGAGGCCAAGATTGCAATTTCCTTGACTGTAAAGGATAGGAGGGATTCTCTCAACCCTTTAATTGACACTTTGCTGGACAGCTTTATTTGTTAACCACTTGCCCTCCTGAGGATTTACCCCCCTTCCTGATCAGGCCATTTTTTGCATTATAGCGCTGTGTTACTTTAACTAACAATTGCACGATCATGCAATGCTGCACCCAAATAAAATTTACGTCCTTTTTTCCCACGAATTGAACTTTCTTTCGGTGGTATTTGATCACCTGTGTGTTTTTATTTTTTGTGCTATAAAAAAAAAAGACGAAAATTTTGAGAAAAAAACAATATTTTTGACAGTTTGTTATTAAACATGTTCAGTAAAAAAAATGTACAAAATCAAATTTCATCATAAATGTATGCCGAAATGTATTCTGCTACATGTCTTTGCTAAAAAAAAAAGTGTAAATTAATTGGTTTATGTGAAAGTTATAGCGTCTACAAATGGCGGTATAGATACTGGGACTTTTTTTATTAGTAATGACAGCGATCAGTGACTTATAGCGGGACTGTGGTGGACATTCTGACACTGGGGGGAACTGACTTGCTGTTACTGACATCCCCAGTGACACTAATACAGTGATTAGTGCTAAAAAAAGCACTGACACTGTACTAATGGCACTGGGCAGGAAAGGGTTAACATGAGGAGTTTACATTGGAGCGGTGTCTGTGTGCTTCACTGTAATCACACTGCTTTGGATGGCTGTGCTGTGACAAGGAGGAGAACTGTTAGTAAACAAAACAGTTCTCTTCCCCATCAGAGATCCTAGGTAATCACTGGGCGTTGGCGAGTAATCACCAACTGGGACCCGATGATGGACAGCCGGTATATGCAAAATCACGTATATATATATACAGTTGCAAGAAAAAGTATGTGAACCCCTTGGGATTATGTGGAGTTTTCATGAATTGGGCATAAAATGTGCTCTGAACGTCATCTAAGTCACAACAATAGAAGAACACAGTCTGCTGAACATAATACTACACAAACATTAGATTTTGCCATGGTTTAATTGCGCATAACATGTAAACATTCACAGTGCAGGGAGGAAAAAGTTAACATGCATGCAGTATAAGTTCACTATAGGTATGGTGTAGTCTTGGCACAGGTGAAAGTGTGGATGTGGTTCAGATGCAGTAAAGTTCGGTATAGTGTGGTATAGAGCAGGGGCGGACTGACAACTCAAGGGGCCCCCGGGCAATAGGGGATCATGGGGCCCCTGTGTCCTTCCCCAAACTTAAAAAAGCCTATGAAAAAGGTACCAGGGGCATCTCATGGTGCCCCCTACAGACCCCGGGCCCTCGGGCAGTGCCCGACTTTCCAAATGCTCAGTCCACCCCTGGTATAGAGTTGGTAAGGGTGCCCTATATAAATGGTATAGAGTTGGTATAGGTGCACTATATATATATATATATATATATATATACAGTATAGAGTTGGTTTATAGATAAGGTGGCGTATAGATAAGGTATGGATGTGGTGTAGATGTTGAATAGGTATGGCACAGGTGCAGTATAGCTATGAAAAGTTAGTGTCCTGTCTCCAGTGACTCAGTTCTAGCTAATAGTGTGAATAGTGGGTGATGAGCCCTCCCACCAGTCCCCGTAGTATAGCTGTGAACTCTTCCTGTGGAAGTGAGCCCCCTCTCTGGGAAGAAGGTGAAAGTACACCCTGGTCTCCCTGCTGCAGCGGTGCAAGTTTGATCACTTTGGTCTATGTTGCGCAACCCCCGGGTCTCAGCCTCACTCCCCGCTAATCTAGCCTGTCACTGGTCTTTCAGACTGCAACAGATGTGCTCCCCTTGCTTTCCTTGGTGCCAAGACATCCCACTTTCCTGGGCAGTTTAATAAAACGTTCTTTGCTAACTCCTCCTGCTGCTTAAGGCACACTGGAGTCCGTAGTTCAGAAAGTCAGTTTCTGTATTACATGGCTG